TCCCTGTTGACGATAAAGTTCCCTGAGATTCTTCACGAGAGCAGAGGCAAGTTTCTGAGTGAAACGGGACCTGCGTTTGGTCCCTTCCGATGCCACAGAGCAAGCACGTCCATTATTTCCCTGGGTGTGTGCCCGCGGGTGGCAACAGGACAAGTTCCCACAGGGATCGCCCAGCTGGCAGGGGAGTTGCCTGGAGGCGGGGCGTGGCAGGTGGCTAAGGGGTAGCACTTCCACCTGTGGCCAGGGTTTTGAGAGGCAGAATGTGCTTGCACAACCTGTGTGGTTGGCGATCACACCACCAGCTCAGAGCTAGGGGCCAGGGGGGGCGTCGGTGAACGAGGCCATCGACCAGCGCAACCAGCAGCTGCGGGCGCTGCAGGAGGAGTGCGACCGCAAGCTCACCGCCCTGCGGGACGAGGTCTCCATCGACCTCTACGAGCTGGAGGAGGAGTACTACTCGTCCAGGTACCAATAGGGCTGGACCCGGACCCGGACCCGGACCGCAGCCCCGGCAGCCCCCAGGGTCCTGCTTTTCCAAACCCTGCTGGTCCCGCAGCAGAGCCCGGGCCGGTTTCAGAGCACACCTCCCGGTCAGAGCGTTCGACCACAGACACTTCCCACTGTCCCCCCGGGCCCTGGGGTGAAACGCACACAGAACTTCCAGGCTTGGGAGGCCAGAGCCAGCGGTCCTGCCCGGGTGCCGCTGCCTCTCTTTGGACCTGTCTGCTCCCTTTAAACCTTCCTGTCCGAGGCTGGGCTGGTTCCTCATGGCCGCCCAGGCTATGCCCAGGTGCCACTGCTTACCCACGGAGGCGATTCCGTGTGGGCATCACCAGGCGCCCACGGAGGTGCGGGTGCAGGGGTCCCGGGAAGGAGGAGGGGGGCTCAGCCTTGTCCACAGAGCCCCCTCCATGCCAGGCCCAGGCTGTGTGCAGGGATACAGCGGTGGGCGCGGCCCATCACCCAGCCCTCGTGGGGCCACTGAGAATCCTGAAACCTGAGGCCTTTGAGAAATCCTAGACCAAGTGCAACTTATGTGGGGGAAACCGATGCTGGGGGGCCTTACTCCTCCGTTCCTGTTAGCTGGTCCCGCAGACATGGAGTCCGGGCCCTGGTGCTCTCGCAGACAGCTGTCCCTCCTGGGGCAGGTTCTATATGCCCCTTGCTGCCCCGTGGGAGCCAGGCAGGGGCCACGGATGCCCAGAGCCAGCGTGCTCTGTGGCCTGGGGTGTGGTTCCCTGCCTTGGGTTCAGTGTCACTCTCATGGTCCTGCCCAGCGCGGCCTCTATGGGAAGGGATGTTATGTCACTGCCCGGCTGGAGTGGTTCTAGACTTTTCCAGAGTGTCTGGGGCCGCTCCTGGTCCCTGAGACCGATCAGCTCAGCAGACTGGGGGCAGTTGCCTCCTAACACACCGGCCTTCAGAGAAAAGTCCTTAGTGGGTCCCCGTGGGGGGAGCTCAGACCCCTCTGGGACATGGCCCACAGCCACACTGGTTTTGCAGTCCCTTCATGGACCCAGCATCCCTGAGGGCCAGGCCTCTGGCCAGAGCAGCTCCAGGGCAGCCATTCAGCCCTGCCCCTGGAGGGTGAGGGCCCAGAGGAGCGGACCTGCCCCAGGTCACTGGGCGGGGCCTGAGCGCCAGGCTTCCCCACCTGCCCGGCAGCCTGGGGTGAACCCCAGGGGTTCCAGGCCTGCCTGCTGGTCCTGCCAGCATCCCGGGGGCCTCGGGAGGCCAAGTTCCTCCCTCATCTGTGATGCCCGGGGCGGGCTGGTACCCTCCCTGCTTATCCCCTGGCATGC